CTGTGCATATGCTCATCACCGATCCAGGCCGGACCCACCTGTCTCTGTGAAGACCGTTCAATTTCCGGTGCTCTTCGAGTGAATAGTGCCGCGCGTTCAACCTTGCATTCCTTTCATTCAAGCAAATGGGTGCTGGTACAGCACCAGTGTTTGGTAACAAGTATGCGTACGGACACCGGCCAAGGATCCGCCATGTTGGACCGATAACGGTCTTTTCGTTATGGATATCTGCGGCTTCAGTGTAGTCAAGCACAAATAAGAAGCTAAAGACTTCTGCTTGCCAGCTGATACGACGCTCCAGTGTCAGGGGTGCCAAAAAACGAGTGCAATCGAGCAAATTCAAGCACTATCTAAGGTCAAGCCTACATGCTGGCACTGCATGAACAGATCGTCGCCGCCAGCGACGCCGGCGGTGAAATCCTGGCGCAATCGGACTATCGCTCCTCTGACATCACAGCTCGGTGGAAGCGTGCCTATGGCGGCCGTAGTAATGACAGGTTCGCGGATTTTACTCTTTGAAAGTCCATGCAGTGAAAACTCGCGGTCGGTAGAGACTAGTCGGTTTTTCGTCAATCGAGATCAGTCTCCGGGAAGTGGCAACCAGCCCAGGAGCTATGATGGAGAACCTGGGTGTAATTTTCGATCGGTACATGTTGTGAACGCCCATGCAGCGTCTGTGACAAAGAGCTGCTTTGGGCTTCGGATCGAATTTAGCTATATTTGGCGCTTTCTTCTCCAAGGCGCAGTAGTCACTACAGTTCACGGACCGGTTCTTTCACACGTACGATCATGCATTTCCGCATGTGGCAACTGCTCTAACAAAACTAATAGCTTTAGAACATGATCAATTTTTATGAGGCGTGTCCATAGGGCACAAATTTGATAACATATTGGACGTTTTGAAAGAATCAGACTGGCTTACTTCTAGAGCAATTGCTGTCAATCTGTTCACACTTCCTTACACATCAGGTACCTGCGAAAGTGATGGGATGAAAATAGCCCTGGCCAGCCCATGTACCCGGGGTAGTGGGGGTCCTCCCACATCGGAGAGGTCGACAACCCCTCATTACACAGGCCGCTACCTTAAGTCAAACCCATATGTTGACACCGCATGAGCAGATAGGCGCCCCTTGCGACGCCGGCGGCGAAATTCCGGCGCGGTCGGACCGCGGCCCCTCTGACCCTCCCAGCTTGGTGAAAGGGTACCTATGGCGGCCGCAGTAATTATAGGTTCCAAAGTAAACAAACGCACTGTCCGACCGGCTCGGCCAGGCCATCGCAGCCTTCTACAAAGGTCAAGCTTCTCAGCGACACGGCCCGAGCAGCGGCCGCCGCCCCCGAGGCACGTTGCGGCAGGGCGAGCGGTGAGACGCGGCTGCTCCGCAGGCTCATTGACGCTGCTGACAGGAGGCCGAACAGACACTGGGGCTGAGAGGCAACAGCGCGTGCTCGTGAGCGGAACAGCGGTGAAAGGTACGTAAGATGCACGCAAGGTAATGCTCAGGCACTGCGCAGGCCGGCTCCAGAGCAAGTTTTTTTGGTGGCTGGGGACCGAACATTTTCGGCTGCTAGAACCTTCAGGTGGTGCGACGTTCACGATGCTTTGTTGACGCACGTCACGGGTTCTATGCAGCTCGTTGATGTCTGATATACACTCAACCACGGGGCCAACATCATTAAGACAAAAGCAAATGTTTTCGCCATTTGTGTTTTTGTCTTCGTCGCTAGACGCTTAAAACGACGTAGCATTGAAAGCAAGCTAGATGAGATTTAAGTGTGTTCTATGCTGGCCATTTGCTTTGAAAATCCGTCAATGTCAGTTCGCGACCAGCCCTGGTCTGGCATTGGGCAGTGATGATGCTGTTCAGAAACAGATAGTGCGGTAAACCGAAAACCGACATAGATTAATTCGGTTTCTGTTCAGTCATTGGTGAAATTATCGGTCACTTTTGGACAAGCGTACTTGGAATAGTTGGTATTTTCAAGAATTCCAATTCGTTAAGATGACATGAATAGGTGAGCCATAGGCAACGTTTCAGCGGCATTCAGATGGTGTGGGGACAGAAAGAGAATGTTCCCCATTCCAAGATATTGAAGCAAGCATCAGATGTGATGATGCAAGCTCAGCTATAGCTATCAGTATACCTTGAAGTGTAGAAGACCGCTCTAGGCAACACTTTTTCCCTGTTTAGTAACTGTGCTCCTCAATACGTCATTGTCTGTTTACGTCGTCGTGCTTTGCATATTGATTCAGAACCAATCGACGGCCGACATGTCTGGAAATCGTGCTCACTAACGTCAGACATGAGCGACTCGATGATTATATTTTCCTGGCTTCGATAGCCGCATTGCTAATGAACCTGTAAAATTTTGATGACGTTATTATGGCATTATGAATGACTGAGTGACCTTGAAATAATCTCCCGGAACACTTTGCACATTTTCGCAGGTGTGTAGCTCAGAAAGTAGAGGGGTTTAGGTTTTAAGAAGGGCAGAGCTGTGAACTGCGCCGAGTAATCTTCAAGATGACTATTTCAGTTTGAAACCCCATACAAATGTTGATCACTTCCTTTAAAGGAAGTTTTATACATTTATACGAGGTTTTGAACTGAAATAACGATTACAAAGATCACCAAGTGCGGTTCATGGCCTTGACCCGACTGAGGCCATCGTCCTAAAGGGCCCTAAGACCTAGGATCCTGAAACCCTCTGGTTTCTGAGCTAGACATCCGCGAACTTCTTCAGACTATTCCAAGGTCACCCAGGCATGCATGGCGCCACAGAAATGCGACGCAAATGCTGCAACCCCATTGCCCTTGCGGTGCTCAACGTCAAGATAAACATAATGGTCGAGATTTTCGTGACTGGCGTATATCACTACGATTTCTGGCAACAGCTGAGTTTGGTTGGCTATAAAGCAATCGTTTGCATGCAGTGCAAGGTGCGACGAGTATTCCCGTGTTGTGTTGCACCAAGGACGAAAGTTGAACAGAAGTTCTATTTATGACCGAAATAAGGTTGACGATCGAATAAGCAAGAGAAGCGCCATAGCCGGGCATTTGAATGCAAGTTAATGAAAAATCACGGATAAATTTGCAAGAACGAGAAAAGGCCAAAATACGCGCACCCAGCGATATTCGGGTTTTGCCAGCGACCCACTAATAGCAAGGTATTTTGCAAGAAGTTGAAATACTAAAAGTGAGTCGGCCCGTTCGCTGCGATAAGAATTTCGCACAGCCAGTTTGGCAGCCACTTTGACGACATAGCAACGTTTTATGACGCAATCCAGCGATGACGTATTGAGCACGTTTAGTAAAAAACTAAAAATCGAAATTTTGTTGTTCAGGGCAGTTTTGCACTTGAAATCATATCCATGATTACGAGCACCCATATTTCGTGATATCCGATACGTGCTTTAATATCTTCAAATGTAGAACATTCCCCCCAAGGATACGTTGCAAACACAGCTGATGGCCCAATAGACCCGTCGAGCTACAGCAAAATGGCGCTACACAACCACGAATTATAGTCAAAACTGAGCAGATATCACGTGAGTAAAACAATGTAATGTTTGTGGACAACGCCACTGACGGACATAATGCTAAATAAAATATAAATGAGACCGTAAACACAGCGAAGGTCAATCAAAACTTATGCGCCAAGAAATTGCTGAGACAATAATACAATCTGAGACCATCAGTGCTATTTTGAGCTTACGTTTCATGCCCTAAATTGAAATGAGCAAAACGAACTTCAGGTTCCTCAAGATTAAAAAAGTGTAGCAAGGCAGGCGAAACACCCAAGCCTATACGTAACACATGGCAAACGTCCATCATGTCAAACCTGGCCCGGCGTTTTAACACCAGGTTGTCATCTAGTTCCCCAGAGCGAGCGTCTGCATGAACACTCCAGTGCGCTACTTTCAAAACAGGTCGTACCACGTGCACGTAAACCGCTGCATCGACGCAATAATCCTATCAGACACATCACGCCAGCATGCTGTGGACACGGAGAGCATTAAGTTGGGGTAACTGTTTATTAGCTTCATATCGGTGGGTCAGCATTTACAGGTGAGTACGCATGGAACGCACCTTGTGGTGAATGGTTATCAATCACCTCCTGCAGCTCTTCTTGATCCGCAGAGGCTCGTTTGTCTTGCATTTGTATTTGATTTCAGGGAAGCGCTCTTCATAAACATTTTGGAGCGGCAATTCTAATCGCGTTCTAGTTTGAATCAGTGGATCAGTTTTTTCAGGAATGTGCACAACGCGCGGGTCGCTGCGCACGGAAGTGCTTCCCTGTTATCTACTTGCCAACGACGCCCTGTTTGAGACACGGCAGTGGACCATTGTGTATCAGATAAGGCATTCAAAAGAGAATATAGTTGTGCCCAGCGGCCAACTTACAGTGCGGCTACTGAAGGAGTTCTGTGGAGCTCGCAATACGACTTACAAACATCTTTAATCGGTCATTGAATGAAAGGTGCATGCCATCGGCGTGGAGGAGAGCTTCTGTCAACCCTGTGCTAAAGAAAACATCGTCGAAGCCGTCGGAGACCGGCGATCGCTAAGCCTTGCACCGACGTTTGGCAAAGTTGTAGGGAAAAATTGCTGTACTGCTCATGAATTCGGGACATTAATCCAAATTCACCGGGGCATTCCAATACGCCAATTAATAAATCGCCAATAATTTTGCCCTTTTTTGGTTTTCAGGGAAACCGCCATTGCTATCACTCAGATCAATTAATTGGTTGCCTGCTCCTCCTAATCGATATCTTCATTGAAGAGGGCACAACAGGGCTATTGGGACTATTGTTGGGAGATTGGGAAGGCCACAAACGCGTCTGCCGTCGACACGAACGCAAAGCGCGCGTCAATTTGCGGAAACACGCACCAAACGCACGTATGCTCATCGTTCCACAGCACCTCCCTACCATGCTCCAACTTGGCACGAGAAGCGAGCCACCTGCGCAGCCCGCTGGCGAGCTGTGCCCGGCGGCCATGCCGGGGCAGCTGCCGCTGCCGTGGGCGCCGGAGTCGCCGACGCCGGAGGAGGACGCCCGCCTCCGAGCCGCCTACAGCGCGCTCCAGCCGCACGGGGTGGCCATGTTCGGCCCGTCGCGGGTGGTGCTCGCGCCCGACGCGGCGCCCGCCCTGGCGCGGTGCTACAACACGCCGTTGCACCCGGACGACACGTGGGTCGTGACCCTGCCCAAGAGCGGTGAGGAGACGGGCCGAGGTGACGCTGGCGGGCCGACGCACGCTGTCTGGCTCGAGAGCGGTTATTGGGAGAGGTTAAGGGGGAGGGGGGTTCCTAGAACCGAGTTTTTGGATTGGCTTATAGAGTTCTGCGATCTTCTCGTCGGAGAAACCGGCATTGATTGAGGACACGTTTGAGCAGGAAGCTGATAATTGCCGTAGGCATTGGGTGACAGATATTGTTCCTATATCTCTATACGCGGACAGACGGTATCAGCGATTACATAGGGCGAGGTTCAGGTCAACATGTCAGCCATTTATTTGCCTGGCAGTAAATCGCGGGGCAACCATCCATTAATGTTGCGCTTTATAAGTTATGAATACAATCGAACCGATTTCGGACTGCGGCTCATTATTCATGCGTGCTAGACCACGTCACAAGGCTTAGCTACGTCCAGTTTACAATGTGGCGTTGTTGCGGATCCCTGCTTTTGTATGATGTCGGTGAGAAAGCACATTTTACACAGAGTCTGATAAGCACGGCCTGTCATTTTAATTTCGATATCTCGTTGCCTAACCGGCATCCCTCCCTCAAGATAAAGCAACAGTTGGGTTCACGTTCCATGATCTCTCAACTCGTGACAGCCCGGGTGTGGCAGGCAGCTGTTCAGGGTCTGGCGGCGCCACAAAGAACACACTCGGCCTTCGCCACCGGGCCCTCACCGCCGCTGCACGCGCCGACAGGCACCACGTGGACGCAGGAGCTGGTGTGGCTGCTGCTGAACGACTGCGACTTCACCGGCGCGCGGACGATGCTGATGCCGGACCGCTGGCACTTCCACGACATCCAGGTCATCACAACGGCGGACACGCGCGCCGCCGTGCGGGCCGCGCCCGGGACGCCGTCGAGCCGCATCTTCTTCGAGCCGATCGAGGCGAGGCCGCGACCCTGGTTCGTCAAGACGCACCTGCCGCTGCACATGTGCCCGCCCCGACTGATCGACACGTGCAAGGTGAGGTGGTCCGGCGGAGCGGCGCTGAGGCTCAGCGGCGTGAAGCTCATAGTGCTTGGGCGCAAAATGACCAGTGTAGTCGACGCGCCCGAAAACACCAATAAACAGCAACAATGAAAGGGTTCATAGTGCTGGGGCCGGTGGAAGGTTCGGAATAGTCCGGCATGGTTGAACATAGGGTGGCCCGCTGCTACTGCCACAGCAAGTTTTTTTGTTTGAGCTTTGTCATGGCTCGATATCTCATTTCGATGCGTATCAAGAGGCGTAGCCCGTATAGTACTACGCAATAGATGAGATTGGAAAGCTCATGAAAATGGGGTTCTACAACATATTGATGCCAAAAGTGTGACTTCTGCCTCTTCGTTCGTCAAGATTGCACTGATTAGGCCTGACGTGCCATCCAAAACTCATACTAGGATGCTTTGGCATAAGCATATTTGTGGGTGATAAAGAAATGAAATGTATTGCCGATACGCATCACAGAGAAGGGGTGCATCCCGTAAAAGACTGCCTTACAGCTTAATGGGAGGGAAATAAATAAATCACCGAAGTAAGCTCAGCAATTTCGCCACGCCAGTTCTAGGACAGTTCAAATGGTTACCAGTTGCGTTTTGACCTTTGCACTTAACTCGATCTGGAGAAGTCAATGCTTATCTCCTGTAGTCGCCTTTCCATTTCCATCGTTCCCATCACTTCGTGGTCGCTGAAAACAAACAGAAATGTTCAATTACCGGATTTGCTGTGTTGCAGGTGATTTACGTCGCGCGAAACCCGAAGGACATGTGCGTCTCCTTCTTTCACCACCAGCACCTGTTCCGCAAGGCAGCGCCGAGCCTCGGTATGGAGGAATTTGTCGACCTCTTCATCGACGGCCTGACAGTGAGCCTGCCGTACTTCCCTCACGTTCTGGAGGCCTGGAAACAGCGTCATCACCCCAACATGCTGTTCCTCTTCTTCGAAGACCTGAAAAAGGATCTCAGAGGAAGCATTATCAAGGTAGCTGAGTTCTTGGGCAAACCAACAACGGAAAAGCAGTTAGACGAACTGGAGCAGCACCTGCACTTCAGGAACCTCAAAGACAATCCGTGGGTGAACTGGGAGTGGCTCTCCAGCTCGGTATGGAGTGTCGGTCAGAACAGGAAGTTCATGAGGAAAGGACAGACGGGAGACTGGAAGAACCACTTCACCCGAGAGTCCGACAGGAAAATAGAAACCTGGATGAAAAAAGAGCTGCAAAATACGGACTTGACATTTGTAACCGACATCCCCGAAGGCCAGCAATGATCAGATAGACAGCTGTGGTAATCCAAGCAAAAATCCAGCGATGTTTTACTCCTTACACGGGCTCTTAACAACCTGAAAGGTGGGTGCACAAGCGTGCAGCGTCGTCCCAGGTGGTCGCATATATGCATTCGGGGAACTTGTAACAACGCGAAATGGAAATGATCGCATTTTTTAACTTCTAGCGAATAACACTAATTTTAAGCTCACCTTTTACTATCGCCATTGTTCGAAACCATTCTGTGCTGTTCAGAATTCTACCACGGCTATTCACAAATACTCTAGCTACTTAATATGCTAATGTCGCGTTGTGTGACTATAGATGTCGTTTTCGCGGCACGTTATGTTATAGAGCTTCATGCGTGATCGTTCGAAAATGTCATCACCTGAAGTAAAAAGCATAAAACTGCCGACAGTGTTTAGGGCCATGGCCGCGGAGAATGCCGATCGGGCTCCTAGGGCAATGCCATTTGTAGAACTGATGAAGCACGAAAAAAAATAGGAAACAGAACAAGAATCTAACCTAAACCAAAGGGCGCCGGTAGTGTTGTGGTAAACACACCTGCGATTACCACTGCGCGTTTGGGAAACTAGAGGTACGGGGTTCGATTCTCCGCGGTGCCCGCCCTCCCTGCCAGGGTGAGAGGCAGGCGACGCTTATAGCCTCAGCAGCTGAGTGCGTCATAAAGCCCCAATGACAGCAGTGACTTAAACCAACTTACGTAAACGCCAAGCCAACAACCAAGTCAAGCCAGACAACCAAGCCAACAAACCGAAACACCACTTTTGAGATGAGACAAGTTTAGCACTAGCCACTTTTTAGTCCCGCTTTTTGTGCGACAAAAATGCTATGCGAAGAAGGGCTGGAGCATCAGCCGGCCAACACAAAGAAGAACGAATGTATCATCGATTTTGTATCGGTGGGCATAACATTCCGGGGCACTGTCTGTGTCCAGACGCAAGATGCCATACCAATAATACCAACAATACCATACCATGCATACCATACCATACAATACACCATATATACCATAATACCATATCAACAACAGCACCTATCGCAGCTCAGGAAACGACCGTTTGCTGTTCGTGTGCTTTTCGTGTGCGTGTGTTCGCTCTTGTTCTGCAGCTCAAGAACCCACCCAGCCACCGGGTGCTCCCGGGTGAATGGCGAGGAATCGTGCAGTAAGTCCCCGATGACCTGATTTCTGGCATCCGCGAGTTAATCTGTTTTGTTTAAAAGCGAACGTTTATTTACATTTGCAAACGTCTCTGGACCGTCTTAGCATTTGCGATCCGTGTCAACTCTTCATGTTATGACATCGCTCTCGCTGCGCCACAGCATGAACGGTGGCGCGGCAAGAGCGATGTAATGCGCTCAGTACCCACGTGTTCCGTGTTCTGGGGATGCTGAGCCATTGGGCTGCGCTGTCCTTGACGCCGGACATGGAAGCGTTGGCCGGCAGCCGGACGAAGGGGGTGTATACCTCGCCTGGGACGGCCCGGAGCGTACTCTCCATTCGCGGCCGACCAGGTCGTGCTCGCGGCAGCATAAGCGGAAATTCAGCGGCGTGGGGCGGCCGTGGAGGGGTACCATATAGCAGGCAATGCCCTCAGTCGTCCCCGACAAGAAGGCAGCGGGCCACATTCCCGATGGACTGGAGCGACTTCCGTGAGTGGTAAGGTCAGGACAAAGGCGGCGTAGCAAGGAGGACGAACGGGGCACATGCCCCTCCCTGCTGACAGCAGGTGAGAGGAAAAGGAGGCCCCGTCATGAACTATAAGTCCCCTGTTTAGGATTACGAGGCACCCTCTATATATCAGGAGGTCTCTGTTCTGGATCAAGAGACCCTCTGGTGTGTCAGTAGTCCGCTGCCCCGAATCAGGATACCCTCTTGGGATAATGAGGCTCTTTGCCAGATTTGGAGGTGTCTTTGTGAGTTGGAACGAGGACGCTCTCCTATGCGTCAGAAGTCCCTGTCATGGAACAAGAGGCCCAGCCTTGTGACAGGGAACCATTTGCTGGGTCAGGAATCTTCTGTATTAATTGCCGAGGGTCCGTGTCGAAAATATTTTAATTGATTGAATTTATTCAATCGGATGGTCATGTATATGGTGCAAAGGCTACCAATGTTAACAAATATGTGTATGTATATACATATATATATATATATATATATATATATATATATATATACAACACTGAATATATAGATACAGAGAGAGAGAGAGAGAGAGAGAGAGAGAGAGAGAGAGAGAGAGAGAGAGAGAGAGATATATATATATATATATATATATATATATATATATATATATATATATATATATATATATATATATATATACATGCATGCAACATGAATGCGAGGATACCCAGAAGGCCTGGGGAAGCTTTTATTTGTTCAAGAGGCCCTCGCAAAAGTATGCCCTTACTCAAAATCTATGGCGCCGAGCCTGCGTACGTGCATCTATTTTTACAAGCCTTCTTTACTTACCACATTTCCGCAGCTGCTTTGGCTCGCTCCTCGCTCATCCTCCTGAATTTTTGTTTGGCCACTGCCACACGTGCCGTACCACACTCTTTGCCCGTGGTGATGTGTAAATATGTTGAAGGCTGTGCCATGAAGTGATAATTGTTTAACGAAAATTATATATGCATGAAACAATCGGCATTGGTGGTGGAAAGTAATACCCCCACCTCTCAATTTATTATCTAGGGAACCATTTGACGGAGCTATTCCCGGAAAACGACATTCCTTTGCTTGGGGCACGAGCTACATTCCTGTAAAACACTAATTCGAAAGTGCTGTCATTAGCGGTTCCACAAAGCAATGCAGTGGGGGAGAGCAGATATTTTGATGTTTGGCCGCGGGAACATTGTCTGACTGATGTTTTGCATTTTCCGTCAGCTGGCATATCATGACATGAGATTACTTTGCGTGTGTCATAGGCTCGGTCCAAGCAAAATCAATGGCGTTTCCTGGTGCTCCAGAAAGAGGTGCCTAAAAATATGGATTTTTAACTTTTCTGCAGGTTTTGCTGTTTTGCTTTTTTAACGCGCGCCCGGGTAGCCGGTTGAATGCCCTTCGCTCGGGACGGTCGACTTGACCCCGTCCTGAGATCTCCGAAAAAAAAATATAGCTAGAGACACCAAACTCACTGGGTGTGTTGACCGGTACGTAAGCTCACTTAAGTTAACAAGATCGAGGCTCCTAGGTCATGATCTTCGGGCCAAATAAGGTCAAACAAGGTTAAACCCTGGATTTGAGTCCAAAGCCCCCCCCCCCCGAACCTAAATGTCTGTTCTAAGCAAATGGTCACTGGTGCTCATTAAGGTCAGCAATCAAGGTTCAAGGCTCAAGGTGACTGATTCCTTTCAAGGTTCATGGTGACTGAAATCATAGAAGACTGCTTTGAGCTTTTGCATTTGGTGAAGGGCGAAAGATTGCGCTTGGCAGTGCGTTCCTAAAAAGAAAATGTTAACCTGAATCAGTTTACGCCACTGACCAATTCTGACCTTCAACACGCGCTTGGGTGGGGATCAATTTGACCCCCACTGAAGGTTTTTTCAGAATGATATCCGAACGGCGCGGAGCAGCCGCGCTTAATTTTGCATAGCTGTAGACAACTGAAAAACGAATTGTTTGGAATCAAAAATTTAGATATACCTTGCAAGTTCTTTGGCCTACGACAGGTGAAAGTCAGGACACGGATTAAGCAAAGGAAATTTCTAGGGATTCGTTCAATCTAATGCGACAACGGAGTGTTAGACAAAGCCCCACATCCCTGAGCTAGTTCGTAGGTAACAAAACCTTGAATGAACAAAGTCCATCGACCAGGTGGGGTCAGGTATGATTGTAAGACCAATGTCAAAACCCTTGCTGTATGGGGTAGTTTCTGATGCTCACTTCGAATTAATTGATAACAGGAGCCACCTTATACAGCTTCCATGGGCAGTAAAATTAATTCACTGATCTAAAGTCACCCAGGATAACATTTTGTTTTTAGAGACGTAGTGCCTGATATAATCTTTGACAGTTAGTCAAATGAGAAACCCAGAACAGTCTTGCTTGATTTTGGTAACCATGACATGCGAAAGGTTACGCAAGGTCACTGACCTTGAATGAGCATCAGTAACCTTTTGCTTAGAACAGGTATCTAAGTTCTGGAGGCACCTTGGGCGGAAGTCTGGAGTCTGACCTAATTTGCGCTTATTTGACCCAAAGGTCATCACCTAGGAACTTCAAAGTATGACACAAGTGAGTTCACATAGAGGCAACCACACCCGGTAAATTTTGTGTCTCTGGCTCTCTTAGTTCTTGATATCTTAGAGTAGGGATCAAACTGACCCCCACCCGAGCGAAGAGTACTCAACCGGTCACCCGGGTGCGTGTTAGGAAGTCAAGGGAAGATGCATAATGCGACTTTTGTTATCAATAAATTCGAAATGAGCACTAGAAACTACTCCATATAGCAAACTCAAGTATCATAAACCAGTTTGGTTTTGACCTTGGTGTGACCTTCATACATGGCCCTAGGTCAATGGAACTTGTTCATTCAATTGTTGTGTTGCCTAAAAAGCTATCTAAGAAAAGTATGGCTTTGTCCAGCACTCTGTTGTTGCATCAGATTAAACCACTCCCTATTTTTTTCGCTGAATCCATGGCCTGACTTTGACCTGCCGTAGGTCAACAACCTTACAAGGCGCATGTATATTTTTGATACCAAGCGATCTGCTGTTCAATTGTCTACAGCTATAAAAAAAATTTGGCGCAGCCGTCCGGAAACGATTCCGGAAAAACCTTCGGGAGGTGTCAAATTGACTCCCACCCGAGCGCATGTTGATTTTCAGAGTTCGGACACGAAGTCAATGCAGCATTTGCATTGATGGAGTGACGTATTGAGAGGGAAACTAACCTACTCCACCTGAGACTCCACCGGTGGATAGCTGAACCCGCTGGTAAAGGTGGAGCTAGCCATCATGAATCCGCCCCTGGCTAGTA